AGGAGGAGAGGAAACGCTAGGGATTGTGGTGCGGGAAGAAGACATGGGTTATATTTTTTTTCTTTAATTTGAAAAGGAAATAGTTAAAAAAAAAAGGGAAATAAAATAAAAAATTAATTTCAGGTGAATTTTTTAGTTTTCACGCGCCTCTTTTATGTGTAATACACGCGTGTGACACATGGCAAAAGAGGTGTGTCATTGACACACTTTTAAAAGTTTTGGTGTGTAATACTATTTCAGTATTTAGTCGATGGGTAATGTATGTATTTTGTCTAATGAAATTGCACTTTCTTGGACTAGAACCTATTGCATGAGAATTCAACTTTAATAAAAGATAGAGAGATATTCTAAATCAGTAAAATCTACTGTCAAATAAACAAAGAGAGCTGGAAACAACACGTCTACTTCACGAGCTTCGATCAACAGGGGCCATTACATCTTTAGGGATTGCGCGTGTAATATCGTAAACCGTAAAAGCCAGTTGCATGTTGAACTCCGTATATCAGATAACCATCATTATCGTCTCATTAAAAACTTTCTAAGAACATCTATTAAATTTATGTTGCCCTCATGGAAACCCTAGTCTCCGTTTTGTCGTTGAAAGCTAAGGTTGTTAACTCTCCACACACTCTTTCTATATCTTGTAGGAAATTTGGCATGCATGCATGACTCGGACGTCTCTCCTATTTACACCATATAAGTCTCTATCCCAAGTACCCAAGTAAAAACAAACTTTTTGTATGTTTCACTCAATAATGCAGTTCTCCAAAAATGCAAATCAAAATAGAAAGTCATGTAAAGAAAAATAAAAGCCGCAGAATAAAGGATGATGGAATATTCACCGGAAAAATTAGTGAAAAAAATCTTTTTTAACATATATGGAGCATTTAATGCAGTAGAACTTAAACCTCACACAAGTCTTTCCTACAACCACGAATTCTTTCTCTCAACTGCGGACAAAATTACCTCAATGTTGGTCACCCTCAAATCACTCGTTCACTTTATAAATTCTCGCATTCACCTCTAACACTATAACCCTAAACTTCCAAAAGCAAAGAGACAAGAATATCAAACAAATATGGATGTTTGGTCTTGGATATGTGAACTTCCCAATGTAAATGACTCGTCTCTCATTTATACTCTTGCTACTCCCATAGCCAACTCCAACCAATCAATTCAATTCAAAGCTGAGAAAAAATTTGAGCTTAACACTGATGAGACTAATTCTTCATTGGTTTTCTCCGTATGCTTGCTAGGATTTCATGAATCCTCCAATGACAATGTGACTATCTGGGTTTCTGACACGTGTCATCTATCCTCGGACAAGCCATTCTTGCCGCTGGTTTTACAGCTGCTTCAAGAAATCATCTCGCGTTCACCCACGGCGCATGATAGCTGCTGTCCACGTTCACAGCTCCAGAAGCTCCAACCCGACCCGGTTTCTTGGATCCTCGATTCCCACTCACCAGAATCTTTCTCTAGCTTCTTCAACCTCATCTTCCTCACGCGACTTTTCTGGATGTTTGCATTCGACGCGCCACCGGAGGTGGGGTCTCTGTACTTCCACTCCTTGCTAGCTCCAAACCTAGAAAACTTCTCGTGCAAGCACGCGCCCGTTCTGAGAACCTTCTTCATTTCAGTCGGGATGGACGTGGAACTCTGTTTCATGCGCACGTTTGGGTACATGTTAGCAAAGTGGCTGATTTTAAGGGAAGTTGGCGGCGTAGGATTAAAGTCGTTAACGCCTTTATCATCTCATTACCTTGGGTTCTCCTATGCCGCGGAGGCTCACGGGTTATGGATCTTAAAAGGATACGCGCCTGTGAAGGCAATGAAACCCACGCGCATGAACGGTGACAAAATTCAATTTCCAGTAATTGAAGCGAAAGAGATTGCACTAAAATATACCCTGGCCCATCAGCAACTTGAGGCTGTGATCCAATTTGAATATACGGTTGGATTCTATGATGGGTTTATCCAAGTTAGGGCCCGTTTGGATAACATACGTCTTGGAGTGACAAGATTGGGCTTTAATAAAAATGAGGAAGAGGAGGGTTCGTATTTGCAAGAGAAGCACTTTCCATCTAGGATTCGAGTTTGGGTTGGGCCAGAAGTGGGTGCAAATTATGTGGGCGGGTTAAGTTTGGGCCGGTCCACTAACAACGTTGAGCGTGAATTCGAAATGCAAAGAGTCCTAAAGGGCAATTTCGGTAATCCAAAACAACCAGAAATGAAGGCAAGGGCAAAGATGGCAACAAGATCAAAGATGAAAAATTGGAGGTGGGACCAAGAAGCTGAAGGAAATGCAGCTATATACGAAGCAATCTTGTACGACCACGTGTCAAGCAGTGAAATTGCCACGTGGAAGCCGAGTTCTGGCGATGATAGGAACAATCAACTGATGAACAATTTTCGAGGAAGATATTTTGGAGGAAATAGAGCATTTACTAAGAAGGGTGGTTTGGTATTTGCAGGGGAGGAATGTGGTGAAGAAGTAGTATGGAGGTTGAGCAAAGAAATGGAAGGAAGTGTGTTGAAGTGGAGAGTAGGGGGTCAAGTATGGTTAAGTTATTGGCCAAATAACGTAAAAAGTTCATACTATGAGACAAGGCTTGTGGAATGGTGTGATGAAGTAGATTTGCCTTTGATTACTGGGAAAGTATTTTAAGGAATATAATTAATGACTATAAATACCGTTTTATGTAACAATATATTCTGTATCTTTTTGTATATATATGTTCTATGGGAAATAAAGCTATCATATTTGATGAAGTTGGTACGCGCGCTGTAAAATTAGTTCATGCTACTAACCAAAGGAGATTTTGTATTTGTGTAGCATATTGTCATCAAAGACAAATACTGCTAAGTTAATTTGTTGTTTTTTAATATTGATTATCAAGACAAATACTTACCATTGTCAGCTTTTGATTCTAGAAAATTTCATTTTCTTATTTTTTTTTTTCCTACTGAGCTGTTGCAAAATAAAACAGAAGATTATTTTATTTTATGGATGTCAATGTGTATGTATCACAAAAAAGTGTCTGTACTTGATAAGAATCATTAATGAATACCGATAGTAAATATAGTTGTTTATCCCTTTGGAGAATATTGAAAGAACACTTGCAAAAGCTAACGAGTTTCTGAACACATACCAACGAAAACATGTCCAAAAAATCTCCATAATATTTATGAATTTATATTTTGGGGGACAATTCAAGATTGCGACGAGAAAAGGAAGAGAAGAATCCGATAAGAATAATTATTACTATATCACTAAAATTTTCCTCAAATCTCTTCATAAAAATTATATTCTGTTAAATAGAATTGTATTTATGGTGAAAGTTTATATTTAAAGAGATTTACGGGTTCATTGCTTGGTGGCTAAGTCACCCTCTCCCTATAAATAGAGGGTTCTATTCCATTGTAATTCATCCAATATCAATAAGAATTCTCTCTTTGTACTTTTCTCTGCAATACTCTTCTTGTTCATTTATTATTTTATAACACGTTATCAGCACGAGACTCTAACCAATTGAGTAGAAACTTTGGGATTGAGCATAATAATTGTCAATTGTTCCATGAACTTCCTTCATGATTAAATTCTGGATTTAAGGTAAGTATCTTACTTTATTTTTCTCTTTTAGATTCTTGACATTCTATAATTTGATTTTAAATACAAGCAAAGACAATAAATCTTGATTTTAACTCTAATGGAGTTTGAAAGAAATTATAACCACTCAAAGTGGTAAAATTTCTATGTCTTGCCATGATCAAATTCAGGTATGATTGTGGGCAAAGAATTGAAAACTCGTCCCATTGAATTATCTCCATTCTCATTCCCTTAAGAGGATGTGATAGCAATATGTAATAAGTCTGAAAGAAGACAAAATTATTACCATAAAGGTATCAATGGATGTGGACGTGGTAATAGACGAAATTATAATCGTCACTATCGTGGTAATGAGAATAATAAGGATTCTCAAAATAAACCTTCACTCTATGAAGTTAATGTTTGTCATCGATTTGGAATAATATTTCGTAAAGCACATACAGATGACTATGGTCAATTCATGATGTGAATGTGACAACATCTGATTTATGAATACATATTCATTCTTGGAAGAATATGAACGTGCTAGTGATAGTGAATATACCACGCACTCACCTCTAGAAGGAGGTTTGAGATGATATTAGAAAATAATGTCATTATTATGGCATGAATGATCATTGGTCACGTACCTATTGCACGCTAAAATATTTTGGTAATGTGATTATTAAAGAATAACATTAATGCAAGAAATATATCTTGCATATAATTTTGACCATAACCATAATGGTATAACTTTCTCTTTAAAAGAGATATTCACCATATGGATGTTGATGAATATGTGGTAGTACAAAATTAATTGAGAGCTCTAGAAGAGCCAATTATACTATTTTGGAGAAAATTGATTATCAATAAGACGTTGTGTTGTAGTAAGTCTCAAAGAAACTTACTGAGTTTTTAAAGTATTCGCGAAAGCGGTTGGTCATACGGAGAATATAAATAAAGGAAAAATTTAATATCTTCTATTACTACAACTTGTAGCGGGGTAATATGTATGTGAAAAGCTACCCGCTTTATTCTCCAGTTTGTACTACACAAACAAAAGAATGCCACAATAAAGAGAAGTTTATTGATATAAAAACCCATATAATAATAAACTTGGAGTTTATTGATAATTGCATACGTCATGGTGTAAATCTGACGTTTATCAATATTGATAATTTATTCAGTTGACATAATTGGTTTACCATATCAATTTAAGTATGATGTGCAAAAATAAAAGAGAATTCACATGGGTAAATATTAAAGAAGTAGAAAGTTCTTTACGAATTCTCTTATGTTGCCTGTTCTCATTAATTAATATACCAACTAAAATTGGGATTGAATCCCATGAATACTGGAAATATCAAAAGTGAATATTGGCCCATTCACCTGCCATGTATACCACATAAGATGGATCTATGAGATGGTTACATGTGCGATTATTAATAACCCGCAACATGGTATTTTGCGAGGTAACTTGCTAATAATTTAATTTCGAGCAGTCTTTTGTAAAAAATATTGAAATAAATGAAAATAGAAGCTCTAGAGGCGTATGTTAAGAGAAACTAGCTAACGTACGCCTTCCATGGCTCGCCAGAAGAAGAAACAAATTCCGGCGCCGGTGGTGGACACCACTCTGTCCTCAACCAAAGACGAACCTCTGAGAGTTGTTACACCAGAAACGGGAGTTCCACAAAGTTTAGCCCCAATTCAAATAGGGCAATGGATGATTGGTATGGGAAGCGCTCCAACTATACTGCAAGCACTGAACCAAGTTCAGTCAGAGATACTAGAGAAGCAACCGGTGGAGGAAGCGCACCGACAGCCTGAAGCACACAATGCGGCAAGGAAATTAACATTCTCTGCAAGCTCAAGTGCGGTCAAACCAACAATGACGGATGTAGTTAAAGGTAATCGAACTCAACAATTAGGGCAAAAGCTCAATTATTTTCCTCCGAAATTGAAAGATGGAAATAAAATTGTTAAGCTAAGTGCAAATGCTATAGAAAAGCAGAATCAAAAGTGGAGGTCAGCCCTAATTGGCTATGTCATAGGGGGTAATCCTACTTTTAAAGAGATGCTGAGATTTGTTTATGGGGTATGGAATACTGTCACAACTCCACATGTATATCTACACGATGAAGGGTACTTCATATTCAGATTCGAAGATGAAGAGGACAAATTGAAGATACTACAGAATGGAACTTATACCTATAATAACAGGCCTACGATTCTGAAACAATGGGTGCTAAACTTCAAACTAGCTGAAGAACCCCTAAATGCAATACCAATATGGGTAGTATTTCCTAATTTACCTATCCAGTATTGGGACACAGAAAATTTGGGTCGTATCTCTAGTTGTTTGGGTAAACCAATTTGTACTGATAAGCTAACAGCAAATGAAGAAAGGATATCTTATGCCAGGGTACTTATTGAAATGGATGTGACCCAGCCTCTCCATGATTCAGTTACACTAGAGGAGCCTGATGGTAGCTACTATGAGCAATTGATTGAGTATGAGTGGAAACCATAGTATTGTCAGGAATGCTTACTAATTGGAAGGCATAAAGCAAGTTGCAAGGAACAAAACAGAGTAAGTGAAGGCAATAATGTCCAGCAACTACCAAGGAGGCAGAAGAAGAAGATTAAGCATCAATGGAAGGCTAAACCTAATACAGGTTCAGTTACTGAAATTGTGATTGAAGTTGCTGGCAAACCAAATGAAGAACTCGAGAAGGAGAATCAAGAAGTAAATACAATAGAGGAAAGTCAGAAAGTTCAAGAGAGTAAAAATAGAGGCAAGCAGAAAATGGTACAAGTTAAGGGTAACAGGTCAAGAACCTTGATAGAAACTGAAGATGTGGAGCAGTTCCTTCAAAAGAACAGATTCAGTGCATTAAGGATATAACCTGAAAAAGCTAATGCCAATATGGCAAAAGGGGACACAAGGAATAAAGACCCTCCATGATCATTTGCTCTTGGAATATAAGAGGGCTGAATAAGCCCTATAAGCAAAAGAATTGAAGTCCTTTATGCTTAAGAATAAAGTGGTACTGTCGGGATGTCTAGAAACTAAAGTAAAGCAGAAAAGTCCAGAAAAAATAAAAAGAAAGTTTGGAGTAGAATGGAAAATACATGCTAATTACCTAGTTAGTAATAGAGGCAGGGTGTGGATTTGTTGGAAACCTAATCAGGTTTTCGTGAATATCCTAGATTCTCATATGCAACTGGTACATTGCAAGGTTGAAGACAAGGAGTCACAATTTGCTTGTGAGATAACATTTGTATATGGGATGAATACTCAATAGGAAAGACAAGAGCTATGGAGAATGTTAAAGCAAATTAACAGCTCCATCACAGAACCTTGGATGGTGATTGGAGATTTTAATATAATCCTTTCTATGCATGATAGAGTTAATGGGATGCCAGTAAAACAATCAAAAATGGAAGATTTCCAAAATTGCATTCAAGAAATTGGCTTGGGCCAACTAAATAGAAAAGGGTGCACCTACTCATGGTGTAATAAACGAGAGGCAAATGAAAGAATCTACAGCTTGATTGATTAGGCATTTGGAAATGACTTACGGTTTATGAAGTATGGAAAACTGGAAGCATACTATCATATCCCGGAATGTTCAGATCACTCTCCAATTATAATCAGAACAGAAGTGGCCAAGCAGAAACTGCCAAGGCCATTCAGATTATTCAATGTGTTATTATCCCAAGAGAGTTTCCAAGAAGCAGTACATAAAGTGTGGGAACAGCAGGTGCATGGACATACCATGTACTCAATCTGGAGGAAACTGAAGTTTATAGAAATAGAGACATCCCAAATGAACAAAGAAATGTCAATGTTGGAGAGGAAGATCGGTATACTGGAAGAAGAACTGAAACAAGTAAAGCTAGACCTAAGTGCAGACTTGTTCAATGAACAGCTTATAACAACTGAAAAAGAGACCCTAATGCAACTAGAGAAATGGGCAACAATACATGAACAAGTGATCCGACAGAAGTCAAGAGCAACATGGCTAGCATATGGTGATTCAAATACGAGATTTTTCCATGCAGAATTGAAAGCAAGACAAGAGAGAAATAGAGTTTCATCAATCTGCACAGAAGATGGCATTCAACTACATGACCCTGAGCTGATCCAAAAAGAATTTACAAGTTCTTTCCAGAAGCTGTTAGGCTCAAGTGAAGGAGAAGTGCCATGTTTAGATCCAAGAATTGTAAGAGATGGACCTTGTATTACTGCTGAGCAAAAGCTACTTCTTATTCAAGAAGACAAAAACTGAGATAGTTCAGGCTTTGAAGGACCTACCAGCTCAAAAAGCTCCTGGTATCGATGGGTTTCCAGCAGAATTTTTTAAGAAGTACTAGCACTTGATAGGGAAGGATGTGACAAAGGCAACAACACAATTCTTCCAAACTGGAAAGTTGCTAAAGGAGGTGAATTGTACTACTGTAACACTAGTTCCCTAAGTTAAAAATCCCTCTTTTGTGAAGGAATTCAAACCCATAGCCTGCTGTACAACTCTGTATAAGCTGATTGCCAAAGTTATTACTACTAGGTTAAAACTAGTAGTTGATCACCTAGTAGGACATTCACAATCAGCTTTTATTGAGGGGAGGAATATTCTGGATAATGTGATTGTGGCTCATGAATTGGTAAATGGATACAAACAAAAGGGAGTGTCTCCTAGATGCCTAGTGAAGGTAGACATTAGGAAAGCATATGATACAGTGAACTGGGGTTTTCTCAGAATGATATTGCTAGAATTTGGGATGCCTATGAAATTTGTCAATATGATTATGGAATGTGTAAGTACAGTGAGCTATTCATTGCTATTCAATGGAGGACTTACTCCCAGATTCCAAGCCAAGAGAGGTTTAAGACAGGGAGATCCATCCATACTTGTTTGTCTTAGTGATGGAGTATTTGTATAGATCACTTAAACAGTTGAGATATATTCCAGATTTTAACTATCATCCAAGATGCAACAAGATGGAGATAGTTCATATATGCTTTGGGGATGACTTAATCATGTGTTGTAGAGCTGATGTAATTTCAGTGAAGTTGATGATGAAGCAGTTTAATCACTTCTCAAAAGTATCTGGATTAAAGGCCAATTTAGAGAAAAGTTCTTTATATGTGGCAGGGGTTAACTCACGGTTGAAGAATCAAATATTAGAAGAGATGCAGTTTTCAGAGGGGGAGATACCATTCAGATATTTGGGAGTTCCTCTATCATCAAAGAAGATCACAGTTCAACAGTGTCTACCTCTAGTTGAAAGAATGACTGCAAGAATAAGATGTTGGTCTACGAAGTACTTAGCATATAGTGGAAGGGTCCAACTCATAAAGGGTGTTCTATTTGAGATGCAAACTTATTGGGCCCAGGTGTTTTTAATCCCAAAGAAGGTCATTCAGCTTATGACAAGAATATGCAGAATATTCTTATAGACAGGCAATCATGAAAGCTCAAGGGGAGCACTGGTTGCATGGGAAACATTGTGTAAGCCATATTCAGCAGGGGGTCTAAATTTTATAGAGTTTCATACTTGGAACAAAGCAGCTCTTAGCAAGCTGTTATGGGCTGTAGCAGTGAAGAAAGATTCTCTTTGGATAAAATGGATACACACATTCTATATCAAAGGGAAAGACATACAACAAATGACAACATTAGCTAGAGCTTGTTGGATAGTACGAAAAATATTGGACGCAAAGAAACGGTACTTGAACAAGGATTTAAATGCGGCGTTACAAGACTGCTGCATCACAGGTAAGTTCAGAATCAAAAAAGCATACCAAGCCTTCCTACCACAGAATCAGAAGTTGAAATGGAGAGGACTTGTATTGGGATCAAAGACTATTCCAAAACACAAGTTTATCTTATGGCTGGCACTTATGCGAAGGTTAGCTATTGTGGATCGAATACAAAAATGGGGTGTCAATGTACAAACAGATTGTGTTTTGTGTAGTACAGGAGATGAGGAGACCTTGCAGCATTTGTTCTTTCAATGTAGTTACTCTGCCTACATCTGGAATTCAATACTTCAATGGCTAGGAGAGAAGAGGAAGATCAGTAACTGGGAAGAAGAAACAGAATGGATTAGCAGAAAAACAAGGAACAGCAGACCACGAGCACAGATCCTGCTATTCTTATATGCTGCTACTGTTTACCATTTGTGGAGTGAAAGAAACATAAGAAGATTTCAAGACAAAAAGAGAGAGGGTCGACAAATCCTTAAAGAGATTGTAATACAATTGCATACAAGAGGACAACAATTCAGCAAATGGAGAAGAGTCCTAGAGTCTTTGAATAGCTACCCTAAGTAGAGGTAGAGAGGTTTTGGAAAGAGTTTTTTATACCTTTTGTCACGACCCCAAATACCGGTCGTGATGGCGCCTATCCCATTACTAGGCAAGCTAGACCAACTATCAAACCACAACCCATATTCATTTAATAAGTCATTTGCTAACACGTTTTAAATACTAATTATCATAATAAGTGTTTAAAACAATAGGAAACATATGCGTAAATCAACAAGACATAGAAACTACACAACCCACACTGATCTGGTGTCACGAGTCTAGAGCCTCTAATACAAGTCTGAACAACCTACTACATAGATAGTCTAGAAATGCGAAAAAGTAATAGGATAGAAGGGAGAAATCGGGGCCGCGGACGCCATGCAACTACCTCGAAATCCTCGACAAGTGTTGGAAAACAGCTGAAAGCTCTCACTCGGCCTCTCGGGCACCTGTATCTGCACACAAGATGCTGGGAGTAAAGTGAGTACTCCAACCCGGTAAGTAACTAAAGTAAATAATGGACTAAAAGCAGTGACGAGCAGTTCAAAACATATATTCTAAAATCAGTTATGTCATAAATTCATCATTTTCAATTTAACACTTGAAATCAATTACTTGACAACATGTCCAACAGAGGCTTATTTAAAAAAAAAGAGTGAAAACAGTAGAAATATCATAACAGGGCCCCTTGGGCATGAAGTCACTCGAAATATAGCCCCTCGGGCAGCCTCTCAGTCACACGTGACTCAACTCTAGTCACACAATACTCACTATCAGCACCCGGCTCAGTATTAACTCATAATAATAAAAATCATAATAACCGCTGCGGCGCGCAGCCCGATCCATGTATTTATAGTCGACTACGCTCACTGGGGGTGTGCAGACTCTGGAGGGGCTCCTACAACCCAAGCGTCATATCACTGCGGCGTGCAGCCCGATCCAATATATGTATATCGCTGCGGCGTGCAGCCCGATCCATATAAGTATCGCTGCGGCGTGCAGCCCGATCCATAATATAGACATATAATATCCTCACCATAAGGTTCTCAACCTCTCATCAGTCATTAGCCTCACAGCCTCTCGGGCATCACAACAGAAATTAGGGAACTTAGCCCAAACAGTCCTCACAGTAGGAGTAGAATGATAAAACCAGTTTTAAACATTTAACAGGTAAAAACAGGATTGAGGCTATGCTTTTAACAAGTAGAGTGAGGAAAATAGTTAAGATGCCCCTAAGGGTTTCTACAGATCGGCACAAGGCCCCAAACATGGCATAAAGCTCATAATACAGTATAAGGATCCAGAATCCAGAATAATATAACATTTCCAAATAAAATACGTGGCTCAATAGTCGCTACGGGGAGGACCAAGTCACAATCCCCTACCGGTGCACGCCCACACGCTCGTCACCTAGCATGTGCGTCACCGCATTTATCAAATCAAGTCAAATACCGGGTTTTATACCCTCAGTTCCAAATTTACAATAGTTACTTACCTCAAGTCGGTGAAAATACTACTCCGCGACGCCTTTGCCTCTCGAATCGGCCTCCACTCACGTCGAATCTAGCCAAAATCAGAGTGAATACGTCACAATATGCTAAGGGAACAAAGCCCATGCGAAAACAATCAAAAAATATTAAAAATCCCGAAATTAGCAAAACCCGAGCCCCGGGCCCACTTCTCGAAACTCAAAAATTTTCACATCAACGGATTCCTTATCTCCCCACGAGTCTATGCATATAAAGAACACCAAAATCGGAGTCCAAATGACCCCTCAAATCCCAAATCAAAGATCCAAAATTCCAAGCCCTAGTTCTTCCATTTTTTTGTTCAAGTTTCCATGAATTTCTAGGTGGATTTCACAATAGAATCGAGTTTTAGGTCCGAAATTCTTACCTCCAAACGTTTCTCCTTGAATCCCTCTTTAATCTCCCTCAAAAAGCTCCCCAAATGACCAACTATGGAGGAAAAATGACCCAAAATCGCGACTGATATGACTTAAAACATTCTGCCTAGGTCTGACTCCCCCTTCTTCGCGAACGCGGTCAAACCCTTGCGTTTGCAAAGCACAAACTTACGTTGACCACTTTTTCCTCTACGCGAACGCGACACGACCAACGCGAACGCGATTCCTTGCTCAGACCACTCTTCGCGAACGCGGTGACCAACTACCCAATCCCTCCGCGAATGCGAAGCCCCTATCGCGAACGCGTTGGCTTAAATTCTGGCCTTCCTCAAATCCTTCTACGCAAACGCGATGCCCACTCTCGAACGCGAAGGTATAAATCTCTGCAACAGCTGAACTTCAAAATCTACAACTTCTTAAACTCCAAAATGGTCCGATTGACCACCCGAAACTCACCCGAGGCCCCCGGGACCTCAACCAAAAGCACCAACACATCCTAAAACCTTATTCAAACTTTTTCCAATCTTCAAAACACCTCAAACAATATCAAATTACTCAAAACACATCGGATTCAAGCCTAAGTTTCTAAAAATCTTCTGAAATACGCTTTCGATCAAAAACCCAACCAAACCACGTCCGAATGACCTGAAATTTTGCACGCACATCCCAAATGACACAACGAAGCTACTGCAACTCTCGAAATTCCATTCCAACCCCCGGATCAAAATCTCACTTACCAACCGGAAATCGCCAAAATATCAATTTCGCCAATTCAAGCCTAATTCTACTCCGGACCTCCAAAACCCATTCCGATCACACTCCTAAGTCACAAATCACCTCCCGAAGCTAACCGAACCATCGGAACTCACATCCGATCCCTCTAACACATAGGTCAACATCCGGTTGACTTTTCCAACTTAAGCCTTCTTAAAAGAGACTAAGTGTCTCAAACCTTATCAAAATCATTCCGGATTCAATCCGACTAACCCGATACCTCAAAACACAGATGAACAAAGAAAATAGAAGCAGAAATGGGGGAAACGGACCGGTAACTCGTGAGACGACCGGCCGGGTCGTCACACCTTTACATAGATAGGAAGAATTTGGAGACTAGTTATAGAGTCCAAATGTAACTAGTGGATGTAAATAGATATACTTGGTTGAAATAAAATTTTTAATTTTGGCCAAAAAAAAATTTAATTTCCAGCATAATTTCCAGATTTTCTATTCAAGAAGTTCATCTTGATAAGTTGGTTTACATCACAGTTGGTTTAGCAAAATGATTTATTAAGTGCCTCTACTTAATAGCTAAATAATTGCTTATGAGAACAAAGTTATCTATATCAGTTTGATATACGTTATATACCAAAGTATATTATTTTCTCCCTTCACAAGTGGTTCAGGGTCAGGAACCAAATAATTCCATCATATTATTATTGATGTGCGGTGTATATTTTGATTAACTCCATAACGCACAAAGGTGGATTCTCAAAGTTGAGGTAACAAGTTAGTTTTTCTAACATGCGGGTGAGACATGATAAACAGTTGAGAAAAAGTTACGTGGAATGAATTATCATTTGTACACCTAGATCCTCGAATAATATAATATGAACTTGAAGTTCATAAAAGGATAATTCATTTGCAATATATTGCAAAGTATGCCGGACGCATTTGCTGGCCCAAAGAAAGTAACTATATTCTTATTGCAAATGCTCCTATTAAGTCCTAGAAGGACAAAGTCTATGGTAAGCTTAAAGCGTATAGACAAATCGATTTCAAATAAACTTCTTGATAAAGAAGATGATCAAATGATCTAAATGATCATAACAAAGGTGTCACACCTCCTTTTTTACACACCTACCCCGAAGGATAGTGTATAAGGGAGTTTTTCCACTTTAAGTGACATTATTCGAAATGGAATTATTCATTTCTTTTTATTCTGAGTCGCCACTTGGGATGGTTTCTGGTGTCCCGAGTCACCGGTTTATTTTGGATCCCAAATCGAGGAAATTTCGACTTCCCGAATGGAGTCTGCGAACTAGAAATTCTGAATAAGGAATTCTGTTGACCCGAGGGAAGGTGTTAGGCACCCCGGATCCCGTGGTTCTAGCACGGTCGCTTAAACTATTATAATTGGCTAAAAATCTGATTTTTATACATGTCATCCTATAGTGCCCTTTTTTAAATTCTTTACAGCTTTTAATTAATTTTAGGAAAATTGAACGTCGTTTAAAATATGTTTTCGGATCACGTCATATGAAATACACCCGGATCCTCGACACATTTTATTCAACATTTTGGGATTTGGATTTGGGTCACATGAAATGCACACCCGAATTTAGGAAGGTAAGATTATTAAAGAACACGCCTAAAGTGACTAACGTGTTATTAACTTTGCGGGAGGCCATGAAAATTCGCTAAATGGCACGTCCCGAGTTCTAGATATTTTTAATGAAGTAATTAAAGAGGGCCACGCAATTTGTGAATTTTGTTTAGCGCGGCGCACCTCGTTTTATTTTAAAGGCTATCCTAAAGGGACTATTGTGCTCTATTAACGATTGTCTCTAAAGGCCTAATTTATTAGCATTGTTAATAAACTACTATTAATAGCATTCAAGGAATTTGGGCCTCCGGGTCAAGTCCAAATTCAAACAAGAGGGAAACCTCTTAATTCGAATTTGCTACTTAACATGGGAGGCCCGAAATTGTATTGCAAAATTAAACCAATGATTTCAAATAATTCTAGCATTTGGGCTTCGAAACCAGCCCAAGAGGAGCGGAAATGCCCTCAGCTTCAGGAAAACTGTCCAGATGACTAGGCTTGAGTGCGAGCCCAATTTAAAGAAGTCTGTCCTTGATAGACTGCCAAGTACATTGGCCCAGGGCTGACTATACTTGGACCCCTCATTAAAATAGCTGGACCCGACGTTGGCCCAGTTCTCTTCATAATTCAAATAACTGGAACTGATACTGGATCATCAATACTAAGTTATTATCACTAGATTAACATATAAATGTGAAATTAAGGATCTGATTGCCTATTTAATGTTTAGCACCAATTAATTAGCACTTCAGCTTATAAATTCACACTCCTATCTTGACTTTTAATGACAAATAG